GTTTGTCTTGATACATATTTTGTTTGTCTTGATACATATTGTGTTTGTATTTGTACATATTTTGTTTGGTCTTGGTACATATTTTGTTTGTCTTGATACATTTTCTGTTTGTCTTGATACATATTTTGTTTTGTCTTGGTACATATTCTGTTTGTCTTGATACATTTTCTGTTTGTCTTGATACATATTGTGTTTGTCTTTTGTACATATTTTGTTTGTCTTGATACATTTTCTGTTTGTCTTGATACATACTCTGTTTGTCTTTATACATATTTTGTTTGTCTTGATACATATTTTGTTTGTCTGGATACATATTATGTTTGTCTTGATACATTTTCTGTTTGTCTTGATACATATTTTGTTTGTCTTGATACATATTTTGTTTATCTTGATAAATATTGTGTTTGTCTTGATACAAATTTTGTTTGTCTTGATACATATTGTGTTTGTCTGGATACATATTCTGTTTGCCTTGATACATTTTCTGTTTGTCTTGATACATATTTTGTTTGTCTTGATATATATTTTGTTCATCTAGATACATTTTCTGTTTGCCTTGATACATATTCTGTTTGTCTTGATACATTTTCTGTTTGTCTTGATACATATTTTGTTTGTCTTGATACATATTTTGTTTGTCTTGATACATTTTCTGTTTGTCTTGATACATATTATGTTTGTCTTGATACATATTTTGTTTGTCTTGATACATTTTCTGTTTGCCTTGATACACATTCTGTGTGTCTTGATACATTTTCTGTTTGTCTTGATACATATTTTGTTTGTCTGGATACTGATTCTGTTTGTCTTGATACATTTTCTGTTTATCTTGATACATATTCTGTTTGTCTTGATACATATTTTGTTTGTTTTGATACATATTTTGTTTATCTTGATACATATTGTGTTTGTCTTGATACATACTTTGTTTGTCTTGATACATTTTCTGTTTGTCTTCATACATATTGTGTTTGTCTTGATACATTTTCTGTTTGTCTTCATACATTATCTGTTTGTCTTGATACATATTTTGTTTGTCTGAAATACATTTTCTGTTTGTCTTGATACATATTTTGTTTTGTCTTGGTACATATTCTGTTTGTCTTGATACATTTTCTGTTTGTCTTGATACATATTGTGTTTGTCTTTTGTACGTATTTTGTTTGTCTTGATACATTTTCTGTTTGTCTTGATACATACTCTGTTTGTCTTGATACATATTTTGTTTGTCTTGATACATATTTTGTTTGTCTGGATACATATTCTGTTTGTCTTGATACATTTTCTGTTTGTCTTGATACATATTTTGTTTATCTTGATACATATTGTGTTTGTCTTGATACATATTTTGTTGATACATATTTTGTTTGTCTTGATACATATTTTGTTTGTCTGGATACATATTCTGTTTGCCTTGATACATTTTCTGTTTGTCTTGATACATATTTTGTTTGTCTTGATATATATTTTGTTCATCTAGATACATTTTCTGTTTGCCTTGATACATATTCTGTTTGTCTTGATACATTTTCTGTTTGTCTTGATACATATTTTGTTTGTCTCGAGACATATTTTGTTTGTCTTGATACATTTTCTGTTTGTCTTGATACATTTTCTGTTTGTCTTGATTACATTTTCTGTTTGTCTTGATACATATTTTGTTTGTCTTGATACATATATTGTTTGTCTTGATACATATTTTGTTTGTCTTGATACATTTTCTGTTTGTCTTGATACATATTCTGTGTGTCTTGATACATATTCTGTTTGTCTTGATACATATTTTGTTTGTCTTGATACATTTTCTGTTTGCCTTGATACACATTCTGTGTGTCTTGATACATTTTCTGTTTGTCTTGATACATATTTTGTTTGTTTGGATACTGATTCTGTTTGTCTTGATACATTTTCTGTTTATCTTGATACATATTCTGTTTGTCTTGATACATATTTTGTTTGTTTTGATACATATTTTGTTTATCTTGATACATATTGTGTTTGTCTTGATACATACTTTGTTTGTCTTGATACATTTTCTGTTTGTCTTCATACATACTGTGTTTGTCTTGATACATTTTCTGTTTGTCTTGATACATTATCTGTTTGTCTTGATACATATTTTGTTTGTCTTAAATACATTTTCTGTTTGTCTTGATACATATTTTGTTTTGTCTTGGTACATATTCTGTTTGTCTTGATACATTTTCTGTTTGTCTTGATACATATTGTGTTTGTCTTTTGTACATATTTTGTTTGTCTTGATACATTTTCTGTTTGTCTTGATACATACTCTGTTTGTCTTGATACATATTTTGTTTGTCTGGATACATATTCTGTTTGTCTTGATACATTTTCTGTTTGTCTTGATACATATTTTGTTTGTCTTGATACATATTTTGTTTATCTTGATACATATTGTGTTTGTCTTGATACATATTTTGTTTGTCTTGATACATATTTTGTTTGTCTGGATACATATTCTGTTTGTCTTGATACATTTTCTGTTTGTCTTGGTACATATTGTGTTTGTATTTGTACATAATTTGTTTGGTCTTGGTACATATTTTGTTTGTCTTGATACATTTTCTGTTTGTCTTGATACATATTTTGTTTTGTCTTGGTACATATTCTGTTTGTCTTGATACATTTTCTGTTTGTCTTGATACATATTGTGTTTGTCTTTTGTACATATTTTCTTTGTCTTGATACATTTTCTGTTTGTCTTGATACATACTCTGTTTGTCTTGATACATATTTTGTTTGTCTTGATACATATTTTGTTTGTCTGGATACATATTCTGTTTGTCTTGATACATTTTCTGTTTGTCTTGATGCATATTTTGTTTATCTTGATACATATTGTGTTTGTCTTGATACATATTTTGTTTGTCTTGATACATATTTTGTTTGTCTTGATACATATTCTGTTTGTCTTGATACATATTGTGTTTGTATTTGTACATATTTTGTTTGGTCTTGGTACATATTTTGTTTGTCTTGATACATTTTCTGTTTGTCTTGATACATATTTTGTTTTGTCTTGGTACATATTCTGTTTGTCTTGATACATTTTCTGTTTGTCTTGATACATATTTTGTTTGTCTGGATACATATTCTGTTTGTCTTGATACATTTTCTGTTTGTCTTGATACATATTTTGTTTGTCTTGATACATATTTTGTTTATCTTGATACATATTGTGTTTGTCTTGATACATATTTTGTTTGTCTGGATACATATTCTGTTTGTCTTGATACATTTTCTGTTTGTCTTGATACATATTTTGTTTGTCTTGATATATATTTTGTTCATCTAGATACATTTTCTGTTTGCCTTGATACATATTCTGTTTGTCTTGATACATTTTCTGTTTGTCTTGATACATATTTTGTTTGTCTTGATACATATGTTGTTTGTCTTGATACATTTTCTGTTTGTCTTGATACATTTTCTGTTCTGTTTGTCTTGATACATATTCTGTTTGTCTTGATACATACTCTGTTTGTCTTGATACATATTTTGTTTGTCTTGATACATTTTCTGTTTATCTTCATACATATTCTGTTTGTCTGGATACATATTTTGTTTCTTTTGATACATATTTTGTTTATCTTGATACATATTGTGTTTGTCTTGATATATACTTTGTTTGTCTTGATACATTTTCTTTTTGTCTTGATACATATTGTGTTTGTCTTGATACATATTCTGTTTGTCTTGATACATATTTTGTTTGTCTTGATACATTTTCTGTTGGTCTTGATACATTTTCTGTTTGTCTTGATTACATTTTCTGTTTATCTTGATACAGATTGTGTTTGTATTTGTACATATTTTGTTTGTCTTGATACATTTTCTGTTTGTCTATATACATATTTTGTTTGTCTTGATACATATTCTGTTTGTCTTGATACATTTTCTGTTTATCTTGATACAGATTGTGTTTGTATTTGTACATATTTTGTTTTGTCTTGATACATTTTCTGTTTGTCTTGATACATATTCTGTTTGTCTTGATACAGATTGTGTTTGTATTTGTACATATTTTGTTTTGTCTTGATACATTTTCTGTTTGTCTTGATACATATTCTGTTTGTCTTGATACATATTCTGTATGTCTTGATACATATTCTGTTTGTCTTGATACATTTTCTGTTTATCTTGATACAGATTGTGTTTGTATTTGTACATATTTTGTTTGTCTTGATACATTTTCTGTTTGTCTTGATACATATTTTGTTTGTCTTGATACATTTTCTGTTTGACTGGATACATTTTCTGTTTGTCTTGGTACATATTTTGTTTGTCTGGATACATATTCTGTTTGTCTTGATACATATTGTGTTTGTCTTGATACATTTTCTGTTTGTCTTGATGCATATTTTGTTCGTCTTGATACATATTTTGTTTGTCTTATAACATTTTCTGTTTGTCTTGATTACATTTTCTGTTTGTCTTAATACATTTTCTGTTGATCTTGATACATTTTCTGTTTGTCTTGATACATATTTTGTTTGTCTTAATACATTTTCTGTTTGTCTTGATTACATTTTCTGTTTGTCTTGATATATGTTTTGTTTGTCTTGATTACATTTTCTGTTTGTCTTGATACATATTTTGTTTGTCTTGATACATATTCTTTTTGTCTTGATACATATTTTTTTTCATTTAGTTTCGTTGTGTTTCTTTCTATTACATTTTATTTTAAAAGGACCCAAGTGAATGCAGTACAATCAAATGTTCACTGTTTATAGCCACTGTTTCACCAAATATTCCATGCAAGATTTGTATCTTGAAAACAACATGTACATAGAATGCTAATGAAGCTCAATACAAAAATGCTGACAATAAGTTTCATTAATTATTATTAACCTTTTTATAACTACTTTTTCAATTGCAAGGAAGGAATGCCATGAGTGTATGTATATGTTCATGTAAATGTTTAAGTTTTTAATGATTTATGTAATACATAACTTTGAAAGTACAAACAAAAACAAAAATAAACATGATATGTTTTAATGATAAATTCACAATTCTTATAAATAAATTATTTTATTACAGTATAATTATGCTACTGTTACGCACTTTCAATGGCCATTAGTAAATTAATTGACAATCATTTTCACTTTGCCAGATTATGACAGCTATTCCCATTTCACATGACAAAGGACACACATCATACTCCTTTCAATTTTTCAACCAGAAAAAAATCAATGATTTGTTCTAGCATCTTTTTTCATTTAGAAAATATGGAATGTAGGCACAATTTTCATATTTAAAGGTTATCTCAAGTAAGGAACATTAACAGTCATTGTATTTTGTTAAGCAGTGACAAATTCAAAGTACAAAGTATCTGCAAACAGGAAGTGTGTGTCTGACAGATCTGAAAAGTGTTCATTTGTTACAACTCACCACTGTCAAGCTGATGACTAAATATGAAGTCATTCTTTTTGGGAGTACTAGAGAATTAATTCTTTTTGGGAGTACTAGAGAATTAATTCTTTTTTTGGGAGTACTAGAGAATTCATTCTTTTTAGGTACTAAAGAATTAATTCTTTTTGGGAGTACTAGAGAATTAATTCTTTTTGGAATTACTAGAGAATTGTGTGATGTAAAAGTTTATGGTCATTCAATATATCTGCAAAAAGGAAGTTGGAGTCTGACAGATCTGAAAAATGCTGAAATTTTATACTCATCTCTGTCAGAATGCTGACCAAATATGAAGTCATGCTGTCCAGTAGTACCTGAGAAAAGTGTGACAGAAATATTGGTGGACAAACAGACTGACAATGAATGAAATATAAACCACCACTCCTAGAATGGGGTTATAATTAGCTATTTCAAAATTCTTTCTCTTATCAAACCAAAAAATTCGTAAGGGTTCCACGGAACCCAGTGTCTCGCCTACTTTTGCTGTTAATCGCAGGCTCAACAAAAATGAGGAAAAAAATTAATAAAAATATTCCTCTCTATACTATCTTTTGATTGTAAGTAGCTTCTGTCCAAGTTTGGTAAATATCCAGGATAGTTTATGAATCTAATAAATGTTTTAATAAAATGCTTCGCTGGGGCGCAGCTTGATACGACCGCAGAGGTCGAACCCTGAACAGTTGGGGCAAGTATGGACACAACATTCAAGCTTGATACAGCTCTGAATTTGGATTGTTATTAAATATTTGACACAGCATATGTTTCTGACACAGAAAGAATGTGGTCTAAGAACTTGAATTTTTTTAATTTACCTATTATGGTCCAATGTCCAAAATCAAAATACATGGTTAGATTCATCATATCAAAGAACCCCATATATTCAATTTTTGTTAAAATCAAACAAATTTTAATTTTGGACCCCAACTTGGACAAACTTGAAAACTGGGCCCATAATCAAAAATCTAAACACATGTTTAGATTCAGCATATCAAAGAACCCCAAGAATTCAATTTTTGCTAAAATCAAACTAAGTTTAATTTTGGACCCTTTGGACCTTAATGTAGACCAATTTAAAAAACGGGACTTAAAATTAAAAATCTAAATACACGGTTAGATTTGGAATATCAAAGAACCCCAATAATTCAATTTTTGATGAAATCAAACAAAGTTTAATTTTGGACCCTTTTGACCTCAATATGAACCAATTTGATAGCGGGGCCCACAAATAAAAAATCTAAATTCATGGTTAGATTCAGCATATCAAAGAACCCCATATATTCAATTTTTGTTGAAATCAAAAAAAGTTTAATTTTGGACCCCAACTTGGACCAACTTGAAAACTGGGCCCATAATCAAAAATCTAAACACATGTTTAGATTCAGCATATCAAAGAACCCCAAGAATTCAATTTTTGTTAAAATCAAACTAAGTTTAATTTTGGACCCTTTGGACCTCAATGAAGACCAATTTAAAAAACGGGACCCAAATTAAAAATACGGTTAGATTTGGCATATCAAAGAACCCCACTAATTCAATTTTCGATGAAATCAAACAAAGTTTAATTTTGGACCCTTTTGACCTCAATATGAACCAATTTGATAGCGGGGCCTACAAATAAAAAATCTAAATACATGGTTAGATTCAGCATATCAAAGAACCTCATATATTCAATTTTTGTTGAAATCAAACAAAGTTTAATTTTGGACCCCAATTTGGACCAACTTGAAAACTGGGCCCATAATCAAAAATCTAAATACATGTTTAGATTCAGCATATCAAAGAACCCCATATATTCAATTTTTGTTGAAATCAAACAAAGTTTAAATACTGGACCCTATCTTGGACCAACTTGAAAACTGGGCCCATAATCAAAAATCTAAACACATGTTTAGATTCAGCAAATCAAAGAACCCCAAGAATTCAATTTTTGTCAAAATCAAACTAAGTTTAATTTTGGACCCTTTGGACCTCAATGTAGACCAATTTAAAAAACAGGACCCAAAATTAAAAACCTAAATACACGGTTAGATTTGGAATATCAAAGAACCCCAATAATTCAATTTTTGATGAAATCAAACAAAGTTTAATTTTGGACCCTTTTGACCTCAATATGAACCAATTAGATAACGGGGTCCACAAATAAAAAATCTAAATACATGGTTAGATTCAGCATATCAAAGAACCCCATATATTCAATTTTTGTTGAAATCAAACAAAGTTTAATTTTGGACCCCAATTTGGACCAACTTGAAAACTGGGCCAAAAATCAAAAATCTAAATACATGTTTAGATTCAGCATATCAAAGTACCTCATATATTCAATTTTTGCTAAAATCAAACAAAGTTTAATTTTGGACCCTTTGGACATTAATGTAGACCAATTTGAAAACTGGACCCAAAATTAAAAATCTAAATACACTGTTAGATTCGGCATAACAAATAAATAAATGTGATCAAAGATTTTACAAATCTAATGCGCCATACTGTGCAATTAAAGATTACTTCTTGAAATTTTTCAATATTTGAAATTTGAAAAAAAAATAATATTTGAAGAATAATTCTTTTTAATTTCTGAAATCTGAAATGAGAAAAAATTGGCCCCCCACAATTTCTTTTTATCCCCCCCCCCTTTTCCCCCAAAAAAATTCTTTCCCTCAAGATATGGTCATAATCTCAATTCAAATTTCCAATGGAGTTGGCAACCATAATTACCCATTTAAATTTACCATAGTGCTAACTTAATCTATTTTATAATAGAATTAATAAAAATATAGTGTCAAATCTTTCATATGGATTTTTTTGTAAAAAAAAAAGATGAAAACATTTGCAGATATTTTTACTGGTCTTCCTTTATAAATATGCATTTCTTTAAACATAATTTAAAAGCAGTGTAAGGGAAGTAACCAAAACGTTGTATTTGGATTACCTCCCTTACACTGTTTTAGATTATCTTTATTGTTCATTAACCATTACTTTATACATAATTTAAAAGCAGTGTAAGGGAGATAATTTCAATGATGTATTTGATTTATCTCCCTTACACTGCTTTAAATTATGTTTTGTACTAAAGTATTTGTCCATTAACCAGGACAACCTTGTTTTTCCCCCTTTTTTGCCCCTAATTCCTAAACGGTTTGAGCCATAACCCCCCAAAGCAAATCCTAACCATCCCTTTGTGGTATGGAAACTTGTAGTATAATTTCAGAGAGATCCATACACCGTTCCACAGTTATTGTCTGGAAACTAGAAAATGCTCATTTTTGGCCCCTTTTTGGCCCCTAATTCCTTAACTGTTGGTACCATAACCCCCAAAATCAATCCCAACCTTCCTTTTGTGGTATTTAACCTTATGGTCAAATTTCAAAAAGATCCATTCACTTAAACTAAAGTTAGAGGGCGAAAACCAATATGTATTCGGACGACGACGCCGGACGACGACGACGACGACGCCAACGTCATACCAATATACGACCACAAAATTTTTTTGCGGTCGTATAAAAACTTAAACTGCAGACTGTATGTAATGTTAACTGGAAGAAAAACAAAGTCCATTTATAAGTAAAAAACGGAAAAAGAGGAACAAAATTTTAACAAATTTTCCTTCTAGATACTAGCTTTTAATCATAAACAAGCTTCAGTCCAAGTTTGGTACAAATCCAGGATAGTTTAAGAAAGTTGTTAAAATTTAAAAAAAAATTTAACCACAGAGTGAATGTAATGTAAACTGGCAGAAAAACTAAGTCCATTTATAAGTTAAATAAGGAAAAAATGGATTTTTTTTACAAATTTTACTTCTGGATACTATCTTATGATCATAAACAAGCTTCTGTCCAAGTTTGGTACAAATCCAGGATAGTTTAAGAAAGTTGTTAAAATTTCAAAAACTTTAACCACAGAGTGAATGTAATGTTAACTGGCAGAAAAACTAAGTCCATTTATAAGTTAAATAAGGAAAAAATGGATTTTTTTCACAAATTTTACTTCTGGATACTATCTTATGATCATAAACAAGCTTCTGTCCAAGTTTGGTACAAATCCAGGATAGTTTAAGAAAGTTGTTAAAATTTTAAAAACTTTAACCACAGAGTGAATGTAATGTTAACTGGCAGAAAAACTAAGTCCATTAATAAGTAAAATACGGAAAAAATGGAATTTTTTTTTTACAAAATTTACTTCTGGATACTATCTTATGATCATAAACAAGCTTCTTTCCAAGTTTGGTAGAAATCCAGGATAGTTTAAGAAAGTTATTAAAATTTTGAAAACTTTAACCACAGAGTGAATGTAATGTTTCCTGGCAGAAAAACTAAGTCCATTTATAAGTAAAATACGGAAAAAATGGATATTTTTTTTTACAAAATTTACTTCTGGATACTATCTTATGATCATAAACAAGCTTCTGTCCAAGTTTGGTAGAAATCCAGGATAGTTTAAGAAAGTTATTAAAATTTCAAAAACTTTAACCACAGAGTGAATATTTGTGGACGCCGCCGACGACAACGACGACGCCGACGGAATGTAGGATTGCTATGTCTCGCTTTTTCGACAAAAGTCGAAGGCTCGACAAAAAGGATTTTACTTAAGATTAAAAATAATTTAACTCATGGAAATGCATGTATTTTAATTTAATAACCTCCTGGCTTATTGAAAGAGAAGACCATGTCTGACTGGATCATTAAAAATCTTTTGAGAGAACCAGAGACTTAACTTTACATGGACTCCTTTTTAATTATGAAACTTAGCAAATTAATGATAACATTTGTTAAATCTAAACATGACCATTCTGTTGTCTAACTATTAATTAATAAACCATACATGTATACTCTATATTTCACCACATTCAAAGAGATTACCAGCACAATCTTTTACCTTAAATTTTTTTTTAAATGTCTTAATAATAGTCCATTTGCCAATTACACACTTTTAACACTGATTGTTTCCCTTCGCTAATTGTAGACTGGTTCTATACCAGAGAAACGGGCTGTTGTCCATGCGAAACATTAAGAGTTGAAAGTGATATACATGTATAGGCATTTTAACCAATTTTCAATAAAAAATAACTATTAAGAACAACGTGTGGATCATGTTATTGTATTGATATTATTATTAGAGTTATATTTAGACAATTTGGTTACTATAACTAGAGGTTGAAATGAAAAGAAGTCAAATAGATAATGGTAACTTAAAAAGAAATTTGTTAGAAAAATTGTGTATACATGGTGATGATAAACACATCTTGCTATTTTTTTCAAGTGTCAGAAGCTTCTAAATCGTATACATGTATATCTTTTTCTCTGATTAAATTTATATGAGATTATAAAGCCCTGGATCGGATATCAAAGTATACTTGAGATATTTAGATACATTTAACCAAATGGTTGTATATATAAGTTATTGCTAATTTTGCCACTATCTTTTTTTTCAAAATGGGAGTAAACATATAATGAGGTGCATTCTTGATTTTTCAGTCCAAAAACATAGTTTCTTATCACTATGTATTAACTTTAAATAAATACATTGTTTTATCTATCTCTCTCTCACTCTTTTGATTCAATTTTTCTGAATTTAAATATCATACACAAATTAAATATCATACAAATATAAATTATTATTATGCTACTATAGTAACAATAATATCACATATACATATATATAATACAATTACACAATATAAGTTTGAAGGGCTACTCTGGAAGAGAAAAAAGGTAAACAAAAATATGTCAGACTAGGTGTAAAAATTTACTTTTTTTTAACTTCTTGTGGAGGTTGATGGAAAACCAAAAAGGAAATGCCAGTATTATGCACAAATTAAGTCATACAAGTCTGCTTTTCAAATGAAAGCTGTTGGTTGAAATGTGTCAAAGATAAGACCAAACCGTCTTAACAATTTTGTTTTTATCTACATGAATATACATATTTCATGTTAAAACAGCATATTTTATGTTAGTCAGTAAAAATATAAAATGTGGTGTATTCATTGTTTTTTCTGTATGACAATATTCTAACAAAATAATATTTCATGTTTAAATATGAAGTATCAAGAACAAATATGAGATAATTTGTGTATGTTTTTTTTTTTTTTAATTCATTTATTTGACTTACCCATTTTTGTGGTTTGAGATATTAAAAAAAAACCCAAGTTGAACGAAATTTAAATCTACTGTTATAAAATAAAATGGTAATTAATTACAACATAAATGGAGAATGTGTCCCCATGGACACAGATGATGCCCCCGCTTGCATACAACATTATAAAGGGACATAACTCAAGAACAATAAAAGTGACGCTACCCAAATTTGTACTTGATCTTAGTTTTGTGGTAATAAGTATTGTGTATAGGTTTCATGTTTGGTTGGGGCAAACTTAAGTTACAGAACGGAAACTAAAATTTTTTCAATTTTTCAATTCATAAAGGGGCATAACTTAATAATGGTTAAAGTGACACCACCCAAATTCAACTTGATCTGTGTTTTATCAGTGGAAGGCAAAATTAAACATTGCATTGTATAAAGCATTGATTGTATTTGATTCAACTATAATCATGGACAAAGGAAGATAACTCCAATTTTAAAAATTACTTGAACAATGACATCATTGATATTTTTAGAAAAATTCAACAAAATTCAAACTTGATCTGTGTATTGTGGTTATAAGCATTGTGTTTAAGTTTCACAACATTTGGTTGAGGCAAACTTAAGTTAGAGAACAGAAATGAAAAATTTTGCAATTTTTTCATTTATAAAGGGGCATAACTCTAGAACGGTTAAAGTGACGCCACCAAAATCAGACTTGATCTGTGTTTTGTGGTAATAAGCATTGTGTATAAGTTTGATAACATTTGGTTGAGGCAAACTTAAGTTAGAGAATGGAAACCAATTTTGGGACGTACGGACAGACCGATAAGGGTAAAACTTAATGCCCCCCTGCTTCGGCGGGGGGCATAAAAATATGTGCACAGAAAATTACAGAATTATTTATTCTGTGACTTTACCAATTAACAATAGCATGTAGTTACAAGTTCAATCTGATTAAAATCAGACCTTTCACTCTGCTCTGTTAAGGCTTGTTTGTTAGATGTAAGATCTGAAAACATCCCAGGGTGTCATATTCAGATGCACTTTTAGCCTTCAATCAAATCTTTCCCTATAATAGCTACAATATTTTTTAAAATAGACTATAAAAAAAATTGTCAGCTAAATTGCAAAATATTTCCAAATGTAGTTTGGGGGAATTTCAGATCTTATACAGCTGTATGTTGCGATGAACAAGTTTAACTGGACAGAGTGAAAAATTTTATTATAATCTCTTAAGGAACATAAATACAAACAGGAATATCATCTTGCTTCAATGATCAACTACCTACATGTACATGTTCCATTAAATATATGTTTTGTCCAATCCTCGATAATCATGAAAAATAAATGTGTTGCTTCAAGATTTTAACCTTTACAGCCAATTTCAATGAGTGTAGGAAAAGGTAATATCTTTGGTTAGCTTGCTTGCTAGCTGAACTGTGAAGTCATTATTAGGTTAGGTAAACTACCCTCCTGTATGAGTAGACTAGTCCCACAGGTAACCAATTCTATCTGTCTGTCGGACTAGTCTACTCAAAAAGGAGGGTAGTTTACCTAACCTAAAAATGACTTCACTGTTCAGCTAGCAAGCAAGCTAACCAAAAGATATTACCTTTTCCTACACACTCATTGAAATTGGCTGTAAAATTTGAGCAAAATAATAATTTTCATTGAATACATTTATTCAAATGCTTACCAGACTCATATGAAATTACAAAAACTGGTAAACCACAAATAAAAAGGACTTTTTTCTTATCAATCATCATATTCACAATAAAGTATTGATTATCAAAAGACATTATTGTTGACCTTTTTTCCTAGAACAGCCTTTAACCTTGAAAGAAAAGCAAAAAATTCTGGTTATATCAGGAATTCTATTTGGTATTTACTACGAATGACCAGCATCCATCTATATATAAAATGTTATATAATAACATTTCTTAGATCTTATGTGCATGTATGTGTGTGTGTGTGTGTGTGTTAGACTATGAAGTAAAGCAAGGAAAGCACTAAATTAATTAGAAATCTGATGAAAAAAATTGAACTCTTTCACAAAGACAACCATTTTCAAATTCCAACGGGTTTCAAACCTGGTTAAAATACCAAGGTGAGATCCTCAAAAGAATTAAATAACATTATTTACATGCCAATTAATTTGAAGATTATCATAATTATTTGAACCAATCCCGAATATTGAACTTATTTGATAACAATATCATAGCAGGCACTTTCTGGTAAGCAGGAACAAATAGTTAAGAGTCAATTGACAATTCTGATTACATAGGGACAACTGTAAACAATCTATGATTGATAGAAACAACCCACAACCCTCCCCATCCCCATCCCATCCCATTGTTACTAAGTACAACCAAACAAGTTCCCTACCAATCTAATGATGGACCTTAAACATAAATTCACTTTTATCAAATATATTCAATCAATTCCAAAATGAAAGTTTCATAAATGATTACTTTCTATTTTTTTCATATACATGAAAATTATTTTATATAAAGGAGACAGATTAAGTCACTGTTCATTTATATTACAGATGTGCTATTTCACAGCCATTTCGTATATATATACAAATATATATATGCTCTCACAATAAAGTAGTATATAAACTAAACAAATCAGTAGTAAAAAATGATTTCTACAAAATAGGACACACACAATAAAAAAGAAAATTAACAATTTTATAATCTAATATCTTGAAGTTGAATGACCTGATCATCCTGATTTTCATTTAATGAGTTGTGGAAACTGATGTTTCCAATGTAAGATTTGTTCTGTAGAGATACCACTGCTGTTTGTGGAGATATGTCAATAAGTTCACTTCTAGGATTAGTCCCAAAAATATCTACCTTTACAGACAAGGCCTTTGGGAAAGTCTTTTGTTCTTTAGGAAAATCTTTTAAAGCATCATAGCTTGCTAACATTCTAATGGACTGAAGGTCTTTTTCTAAATCATCTAAAGCAATGTCCTTATCAGAAGTGGACTCAGAGCTAACAGAGAGATGACAATCATGAAATCCCCATTCTTTGTGCACGTCTGCATGTAAAACTGTGTGTGAGCTTGATGATAAGTTAGGACATATTGTTGGCATTGATTTACTTTTTAACTTTCCTGAAGATAAATCTATGTCCTCTTGTTCAGTATCTTCAATCTGACTATGGACAAGTTTTCTCCCCTTACACGGCGATCTCCTGTCTACATGCTCCTCCAGACCACAAAACATACATGGTTGAAAGTCAATATCTTGGTATCTAGTAGTAGTCTGGAAATTTTCAAAACTTTTTGATGTGTTTGTTGGCGGGGTTGGAGAGGAGTTGGTCTGATGACTGCTGAGTGACGACGGCAAGGAATTTTGGCGTTGATACAGTGGGACCATATTGAGATCCTCCTGTTTCAGAGTTCGAGGTAGTGTTTGATTGTGAATGTCAACCAAAGTGTCAATTTTTCCAGAGTTGTCAAATGGTAGGTTCATTTGACTTTCCTTCAATAACGGTTCTAATGAACTTTTTCTGACATGTCTAGATTTTGATTTTGATGGAGCAGGCATATATTCCATGCTGTCCTCTATCCAATTAGGGTTTGCTTTAAAATATTCTTTGGCTGATTCTAATGACAAGTTTAGTTCTGTGGTTAATTCTGAAAAATCACAATTCTGTTCAACTGTATCTCGCCAAACTGGACCAAATTTGTTCATGTCAGACGGAAAACCATGAAGATGATTAAAGAGCGCATTCATATCTTTCATTAAATTGAATTTAACACCAGTATCCAGTTGATGGGGAATATCACTAGCAGAAGAATATTCCATGTAAGCTACAATAAATCTAGACATTGGTAATCCTTTTGACCTTTCCACTCTCATTTTCTCTGCAACGTAATCCACTGCTATTGCAAAATAATCTGGAATCGTTCTGTTTGGATCAAATTTAAATCTGGCTCGCTTTTTTGTACAACGTAATCTAGCACCAACAGAACACATAACAATAATAAAATCAGCTTCCTGAAGTTTTTCTACCAACCATTCATCAAGCCCCCTCTCATATATGAGTTGATCTTCAAAAATGTCTAAGTGAACATTACAATGACAAGCTTCTATTAGGAACCCAGCAAAAGATGAGACCACTTTCTCATGAGCTGAACAATCACTGGAGTATAGTATTAACACGGTAGGTACTTGCTTTTGTTCTAAATCTGTAACAAAAAATATACTTAAAATAAAAAAATGTCAAAACTACTAAATGATCAAAAGCAAAATTTAATAGTCAATATATATACCAAATATAGTTCTACTTCTAAAATGGTAGAAAAGCTACCTAATTAAAACACAAAACATTCCTTTTTTGTGTAGTTCAAAAAATTATTGCGTGCATTTATTATTGCGATTTTTGAAGAATCAACAAAAATGCGAGTTTAATTATTGCGATTTTAGGAGAAGCTACATATAGATATATGTATTTAATATCAGAATGCATGTTCTTATTATTGCGACACTCAAGTAGTCACATTATTCACATTAATAAAAATTTAGCAAAAATATCTGAATGCATGTTGAAAGTCTATAATATGAAGGTTTTACTACAAGTTTCACATAAACTTAACATTATCAATGTTCTATGAAAATGAGGTCATTGTAAGATGAACCATTCCAGACAGCCATGTACACCTTACAATCATTCCATACACCAAATATAGTGATACTATCACTAATAGTATCTGAGAAACAAAATAAACCACAAAATCTTAACATTGACCAATGAACCATGAAAATGAGGTCAAGGTCATATGAACCCTCCAAGATAGACATGTAAACCTTACAATCATTCCATACACCAAATATAGTTGACATATTGCTAATTGTATCTGATAAACTAACAAAATTATGATTTATGACCAATGAACCATAAAAATGAGGTCAAGATCATATCAACCCAGCCAGACGGACATATACACCTTAAAATCATTCCATTCATCAAATATAATTAACCTATTGCTTATAATATCTGAGAAATACACCAAACCACAAAAAACTAAACAGTGTCCAATGAACCATGAAAATGAGGTCAAGGCCAGATGAAACATGCCAGACGGTCATGTACACCTTACAATTATTCCATACACCAAATATAGTTGACCTAATGCTTATAGTATCTGAGATATTGACTTGACCACTAACCTTGATCACTGACAGACATGTATACGTTGGAAGGAACCCATATACCAAATATACTTATCCTTTTACTCATAATAAGGGAGTATTTCACTTGACAAAAAACTGAAAATTTTTTCAAGCTGTCACTGAACCATGAAAATGAGGTCAAGGACAATGGATATATGACAGATGGAAACTTCGTAGCATAAGGTATCTGTATAAGAGTTATGAAGCATCCAGATCTTCTACCTTCTGAAATATATAGCTTTATACAAATAGTTTACGCCGTTGCCGCATTGTAATACCTATGTCTCACAGTATCGCAAGAGAGACAAAAACCCAAAAAGAATGTTAACATGACATTGGATAGCTGTCTCATTGGCAATCATACCACATCTCCTTATTTTTATATAAAGCAAGAGTGCACATGTTGAAATGTCTCGCCTGCTTTACTACCATAGCATTTATGTTGATAGCCCTAAATATCAAGTTTTACAACAAGTATCACATTAACTTATCATGATCCAAGAAAATGAGGTCAAGGTCAGATAAACCAAGCCAGAAATACATGTACACTTTATAATCATTCCATACATTGAATATAGTTGACCTATTGCTTATAGTATACAAGAAAGAGATAAAAAATGAAAACTTTATATTGACCAATGAACCATGAATATGAGGTCAAGGTCAGATGAACCCTGCCAGACAGACATGTACATTTTACAATCATTCCCTGGATCAATTTTAGGATGTATCAAATATAGTATCTAAGAAACAAACTTAACCACGAAAACTTATCATTGACCAATAAACCATGAAAATGAGGCCAAGGTCAATTGATACCTACCAGATAGACATACATTGTATTAACATTACAATCATTCCATACACCAAACATAGTTGATCTATTGCTTATAGTTTAAGAAAAACAGACCAAAACACAAAAACTTAACATTGAGCAATGAACCGTGAAAATAAGGTCAACGTCAAACTAGACTAAGTGATGCCCCCTCACTCCACTCTGAAGTAACTGTATTATAACAAAGTCAATGTAGGACTTTCTTTGAGATATTTTTGTGTCTGGGAGACACAAAATGATGCCCCCGCAGATGCAAAGTGTTATTTTAAAATACACAAAGATGAGCATAGGAGAACGTAGGTCTATGGTTCACTGTAGGAGGAGTTATCCAGAAACTTTATGCACCTCTTATCAGGGTTTAAGCTAGGATTTTGAGGGCTTTAGTCACTTTTGCGCGGGATGAAAATCAACCTTATTTTGGGTAGCAGCAAGGGACCTAGGATGTATATTACTATCTATACATCTTTGTCAGACTTTGAAGGACTTAGGCATACTTTGCAGTTACTGCATGATTTGACTGATGTGGCACTTTAATACGAAGATTAGGATATAAGATCTAGAAATCTAGTTCACAATTTTACTTCAGTTAGTTTCAGGGTACATTCCTAATCAGCAAAAGTTGGGATTCATTTTTTTTAAACCAGGAATCACAGCATAAATGAACTTGTAAGGACTATTTCACTGCATTATTCATACTCATTATCCTTAAAAACGTTGTAAATCGATATTTAGAATTAATTCTATAAAGTTGGAACCAAGGATTTGTACAAATCCTTATTGGAACAATTCTAATGACTTTAAATTGTAAATTTATCATGAATAGATCACGTTTACTTTCGATTTCCAAATGAATTGAAAACGGGAAGTGACAAGTGGGTAATAAATTCAGAATGAATCCGGATTCATCTACGGATTGGTTCGCGTTTAAAAAAGGCAGGAAATTATCAGTTTTTAAATTAAATTTGCTAAAGAAGAACTATATTTGTCTCTCTCCTTTAGTTTGATACTTGATTATTTTGTATTTTACGTTTTAGTGTCTTTAAATTCATAAGATTAATTAACGGATTAGTGACCCATCCGATGGTGATAAGCGGATTATCTGTAATAACAACTTATAACACCTGTTGTAAATGTTAATTAGCTGAGGGTCATAAACTTGTCAGAAACAATAAGACAGGTAGAATTATAGTATTTTCATGCGAAAATATTTTTACTCTTTCCAAATTTAAGTGACGAAATTGATTTGGAATACTTTCGTCATTTTTGAAAACCGTTTCGTAAATGACGAGCGCTAGCAAAATCACTGCCTCTTATGCAAGTATATACCTGGTACTCCAAAAATGACAAAGTTCAATTATCTCCCAAAAGAGCAAATATTAATAAAAATCAAAACCCTGACTACATGCACACCTTCAATACATATACAAACAGCCAGCAAAGTGAAAACTTCCTAGCATTCAAACTGTAGGAGAAGTTATCTGGAATAGCTATGTACCTCTTATGCAAGTGTATACTCCAAAAATGACAAAGTTCAACTATCTCCCAAAAGAGAAAATATCAATAAAAATCAAAACCCTGACTACATGCACACCTTCAATATATGTACAAACAGCCAGCAAAGTGAAAACTTCCTATCATTCATGCAAACTGTAGGAGGAGTTATCTGGAATACCTATGCACCTCTTATGCAAGTATATACTCCAAAAATAGCAAAGTTCAACTATCTCCGAAAAAGAGCAAATATTAATAACAAGAGTGCACACGCTGAAATGTCTTGCCTTCTTTACTTATCATTGATATTATGTTGATAGTCTTAAATATAAAGCTTTATTACAACTGTCACATAAACTTAACGTTAACCAAGTAAACTAAACATTGACCAATGAACCATGAAAATGAGGTCAAGGTCAGATGAACCATGCTAGGCAGGCATGTACAGCTAACAATTCTTCCATACAACAAATATAGTTGACCTATTGCTTATAATTTAAGAATAAACAGCTGCGCCATGAGCGCATGATACGCCCGTCGTCTTGTGTGTGAATTTTTATGCAATAAGCATAAATAGTTTCTGACATACGGCGTGACATGCGAAAACCCCCCTTTTTTTTTTACAAAAAACTCAATATCTATAAAATAAAATTTTGAATCAAAACCAAAAAGTATACAGATCTTTAGATTAATATAACTAAGAAGTGTGTAAAATTTTAAGCAATATTCATAAATCGTTTTTGAGATACGGCGCGACATGTGAAAAACCCCTCCCCCTTTTTAACAAAATACTCAATAACTCAAAAATAAAATTTTGAATCATCACCAAAAAGTATACAGATCTTAAGATTAATATAACTAAGAAGTGTGTAAAGTTTTAAGCAATAATCATAAATTGTTTTTGAGATACGGCGCGACATGTGAAAAAAAACACACACCTGTTTTAGTTACTAAGTCCTGTAACTCAAAAAGTTTTAATCTTATTTTCACCAAAAAGTATACAGATCGTTTGACCATCATAAGAAACAACTATGTTAAGTTTCATGAAATTTGGATAAGTCATTCTCAAGTTACGGTGCGACATGTTTACGCCGGACAGACAGACGGACAGACAGACGGACAGACAGACTGACAGACGGACGCCGGACATTTGTATAACATAATACGTCCCGTCAAAAATTTGACGGGCGTATAAAAACAGACCAAAACACAAAAACTTAACACTGAGCAATGAACCTTGAAAATGAGGTCAAGGTCAAATAAAACCTGTGTGACTGACATATAGATCATAAAATATTTCCATACACCAAATATAGTTGAACTATTGCATATAGTATTAGAAAAAAAGACCAAAACTCAAAAACTTAACTTTGACCACTGAACCATGAAAATGAGGTCAAGGTCAGATGACACCTGCCAGCTAGACATGTACACCTTACAATCATTCCATACACCAAATATAGTAGACCTATTGCATACAGTATAAGAAAAACAGACCAAAACACAAAAACTTAACTATAACCACTGAACCATGAAAATGAGGTCAAGGTCAGATGACACCTGCCAGCTAGACATGTACACCTTACAGTCCTTCCATACACCGAATATACTAGACCTATTGCTTATAGTATAAGAAAAACAGACCAAAGCACAAAAACTTAACTATAACCACTGAACAATGAAAATGAGGTCAAGGTCAGATGACACATGCCAGTTGGACATGTACACCTTACATTCCTTCCATACACCGAATATACTAGACCTATTGCTTATAGTATCTGAGATATGGACTTGACCACCAAAACTTAACCTTGTTCACTGATCCATGAAATGAGGTCGAGGTCAAGTGAAAACTGTCTGACAGGCATGAGGACCTTGCAAGGTACGCACATACCAAATATAGTTATCCTATTACATATAATAAGAGAGAATTTAACATTACAAAAAATCTTAACTTTTTTTTCAAGTAGTCACTGAACCATGAAAATGAGGTCAAGGACATTGGACATGTGACTGATGGAAACTTCGTAACATGAGGCATCCATATACAAAGTATGAAGCATCCAGATCTTCCACCTTCTAAAATATAAAGCTTTTAAGAAGTTAGCTAACGCCGCCGCCGCCAGATCACTTTCCCTATGTCGAGCTTTCTGCGACAAAAGTCGCAGGCTCGACAAAAATCAAAACCCTGACCACATGCACACCTTCAATATATGTACAAGCAGCTAGCAAAGTGAAAACTTCCTAACATTCAAACTGTAAGAGGAGTTGTGTGGACTAGCTATATACATATAATGGGACGGACAGACGGATAGGGGTAAAACAATATGCCCCCTCCGCTACGGCGGGGGCATAAAAAGTAACAATACATAGTCTCAAAACATAACTCTTTTTTGTACTGACCTCAGAACAGGATAGAAATGCTCGGATAAACCTTGAATTCTACTTGTTTCTAAGCCTTGTAAAATTAAATTTTATATTTTGAGACAATGTATTCTAAAAATAACTTCTTACCAATAGATATTGAACTGTTGAAATCAGAATCTCTTTGTCCTATAAAATAAAAATATTAACTTTTATCAATTTAGACATAAACAAATATGATTAGCAACTAAGTTATAAATTGTATGCTTAAATATGCTTGTATTGCTCATGTGGCTTGTAGCTATAAATGTTTGTGTATGAATAGAAGGACTCAACATTATCAAGCTGCAGACAAAATATTAAATCATTCCATTTCATAGAAGCCTAGAAAACTTTGAAAAAACTTTTCTTTCGATGGAAGGACATACAGACAGAAAGGATGGAGTTCAGCAGTTATTCGACCTACTTCTGCCTTTGGCGACTCAGTTAATAATGATAATCTTGACGTCAACATCAGCTCTAAATCAGTTATTCTTAATTGGTTATCCCAGTCAATATTCATGAAAATATTCACAATATTTGCTGATCAGTGATGTAGTTGTTGAAGTCGAAGATTTAAAATATAATCTAAAATTAACTGCCTCTGGCAGCTATATATAAAAATAGGAAGATGTGGTATGATTGCCAATGAGACAACTATCCACCAAAGTTGATCAAAGTTCAATTGAAGTTGGTGTATATGTTTAATGTTTTAAAACAAATCTGAAAATCTTTGCAATTGTCCTGACATAATCATTCTTGCAATCTTTCAATTAAAATAAATGGGGAATGTGTCCATGCCCCTCCTTGCATATAACGTTATTAAGGGACAAAAATCAAGAACTGTAAAAGTGACGCTACCCAAAGTTGTACTTGATCTGAGTTTTGTGGTAATAAGCATTGTGTATACGTTTCATAACATTTAGTTGAGGTGACTTTAAGTTAGAGAACGGAAACGAAAAATTCAGCGATTTTTCCATTTATAAAGGGCATAACTCTAGAACGGTAAAAGTGACACCACCAAAATTCGAACTTGATCTGTGTTTTGTGGTAATTAGCATTGTGCATAAGTTTCATAACAATTGGCTGAGGCAAACTAAAGTTAGAGAACAGAAACGAATATATCAGCAATTTTCCCATTTGTAAAGGGGCAACATAACTCTAGAACAGTAAAAGTGACACCACAAAAATTCGAACTTGATCTGTGTTTTGCTGTATTAAGCATTGTGTATAAGTTTCATAACATTTGGTTGAGGCAAACTAAAGTAAGAGGACGGAAACGAAAAATTCAGCAATTTTTCCATTTGTAAAGGGGCATAACTCTAGAACGGTAAAAGTGACACCACAAAAATTCAAACTTGATCTGTGTTTTGTGGTAATAAGCAAAGTGTATAAGTTTAATAACATTTGGTTGAGGAAAACTAAAGTTAGAGAACGGAAACCAATTTTGGGACGTACGGACGGACGGACGTACAGACGGACAAGGGTAAAACTTAATGCCCCTTAAATAAAAAGACTACAATGTGACCAATTATGAACATTTCAGATAAATTAATAGAATTGTAGATCATGTAATCTAATCCTTTTGATTTTATGGTTCATTTTTTCCTTTGTTGCTTAGCATGCACATTTTAAACAAGATACCTGATTTTAGATGAGATTAATGTAGCCAAGTTTGCTTTTTACTTTTTTACCTCTAGTATGTTGAGGAGATCGTCTTCTTTTATAAAATTTGTACAAGAAGGACAGCACTAGTATCAAACCAAGGAGACCAAACACACCACATACTGTGCCAAGTACAATCTGTAAGGACTGCTCAAATTCTGTGTTATCTCGTGGTTTCATTAATACTCCATCTGAAATCAATTCGTTATCTCGTTATTTCATTTATACTCAATGATTACATCAGTAATGTTTAAAAAAATTAATCAGTTATCTTATGGTTTATTGAAAAATACCATCCACCTGAAAAGTCCCTATAAATTCTGCATATCAAAGCCAAAAACTTATTATTTATACATAAATATAAAACAATTAAAGGGCAATACATATATATAAAACAATCTTTTGAATTAGAAGCATCTTACTTATCTATAATTGTGGCTGAACTTTAACCTTTTTTCATACACAAAAAATGTAATTTTTATTAAATAGTTTTCTTGACAAATATGATTATACATAATCACATCATTTTGTAAATTAAATATATATCAGAGTATATATTATGAATCTATAGCTTGACATGGTAATTGATGTGATCAAAAGATTGTTCATCTCACTGCATTATGTTGTTTGAACTGTGAAAGGTAGAGTTGAGCCTTGAAAGATATAGCTATAAGCCTGTGCCATAAGGCGTTGGTTGGGCTTGCATTTAATGATATCTATTCTAAAAGAAAGCTCATACAGCTAATATTATTTATATCTATTTGGAGAAAACCTTATTATCTCCCTTAACTCATCTTCCTGGTTTATAAGCTATTACCTGACCCTGATCCTCCACCATCAGGTTTAATACTGGTGTGAGTTGTTAATTCTGTAAAAAATCAAATGTAATTATCATTCAAACTTCAAAATATTTTACAAATTAAGAAATATCTATCGTATGCAACTTAAGGAGTACCAAAAGAACCTTGTAATGCAATTTCATTCTTAATTTAGGTGGTTAAAGATATTGATTTAGTTAAGTTTCTTTTTTAAACTGACATGACAGACAAAATAGCAAATTCTTAATTTAAAACTTGAAATTTCTCAAACACATTATAAAACACAAAAAGATTATATCAAAACAATCTATATAGATGTGAACAATTGGTACATGTTAAATTAAAATTAGAAATAATATACATATATTTAGTTTTTGAGTATAGTGATGTATAGTCAATTATCACGTTTGTTATGAAAACATTGGGTTTTGTATATGTAATTACCACAGGTTTGCCTTAGTCATATTTCAACACAGGGCAAATAACAGGTTATTGTGACCCTGTTATTAATGACGTCATAATAAGCGTTCCTAACAACTATGACGGAAGAGGAAGATGCTTGTATTGTCAACGTCTATTAAAATGACTGCAGAATGTGTTAAAGAAATAAAGGACACTAATACTAAGAAAATCTGACATTGACATTATAATGTTCAAGGACTATATTTTGAAACTGTTGGGGAGATTTGTAATAATGAAATTATTTCAGTGATGAAAAAGCATTTAAGCATTTGTTTAATATGTGATAAATAGATTACAACATGTCCTTTTCCATATCAGTCCTGGTATTATCCCTCTACCCATATGAGTCCTCAGCTAGCGTCATAGGCTGATATCGGAGTCTTGGGATGATACCAGGGCTGATATGGAAAGGACATGTTATAATCTGTAAGTATTGCACTGAAGTCTGACTCCCTGTTATGGGCATTGGGTGTGGCAGCAAAATTCTTACAATTCAAAAACATATATTCAATAAGTATCTTAACAAGAGTGAATACACTGAAAGTCTGTCTGCTTTACTGATCATGATTGAATTTATGTTGAAAGTCTTTAAGATAAAGATTTTACTACAAGTATTCCATAAACATAACATTATCAATGAATGATCCACATAAATGAGATCAAGGTCAGATGCACCCTGTCAAACAGACAAGTACATTTTATAATCATTACATTCACCAAATATAGTTGACCTATTGCTTATAGAATCTTAGAAAAAGTCTGAACCATGAGACCAATGAGTCATGAAAATAAGGTCATGGTTAGATTAACCCTGCCAGACATACATACATTTTGTACACGTCTATACACCTAACAATCATTCCATACACCAAATACAATTGACTTATATGTATTACATAAAGTATACGAGAAACATCCAAAACCACAAAAACTGAACTTTGACCAATGCACCATGAAGATGAGGTCGGGATCTGATGAACCTTGCCTGACAGACATATATGCATGTACCATTTAAAATAATTCCGTACACCAATTTGTCACCAAATATAGTTCATATTGGTTATGGTATTTGTCATACCAACTTGACCACCAAAACTGAACCTTGATCACTGACCCATGAAATGAGGGCAAGGTCAGATTAGTCCTGTGTGATGGGACATGTGGACCTTGCACAGATCCCATACCAAACATAATCATCATATTACTTATAATGAGAAATGCATGTAACAAAAACATGCTGAACTATGAGCATGAAGCCAAGGACAATGGAGAAACGACAGACAGAAACTTTAGACAAGGCACAATGTATGAAACATGCAGGTCTTCTCACCTCTGAAATATAAAGTTTAAAACAAATAATTTATGCCTGCAGGATTATCCTCCCTACATGTATGTATTTGTCATATTATCGCAGGCAGCACAATAAATCCAGTTACCTGAATCTCCCATCTCTTATTTGAGATTCTGCTAGGAGATATGTTCCTCTTTGGTGAAATTCTGTGTAGAAACACACCCTGTTGTTGCTTTGGAACACATTCTATTTTCTTTTCAGTTTCACCTGAAAAAAAAATCATTGTATAATATATTTATATTTATTTTTTATTTTGTGGACACAGATGATGCCCCCGCTTCCATATCATATAGTTATAAAGGGATATAACTGAAGAATGGTAAAAGTGACGCTACCCAAATTTGAACTTGATCTGAGTTTTGTGGTAATAAGCATTGTGTGTATGTCTCATAACATTTGGTTGAGGCTAATTTAAGTAGAGAACAAAAACTAATAAAATGCTTCGCTGGGAGCAGCTTGATACGACCGCAGAGGTCGAACTCTGAACAGTTGGAGCAAGTAAGGACACAACTTTCAAGCTTGATACCCACTGAATTTGGATTGTGATTAAATATTTGACACAGCATAGGTTTCTGACACAGAATGAATGTGGTCTAAGAACTTATAAATTATTAATTGACCTATTCAAACCATATCATTATTATTTGTTTTTACATATAAATCAGAAATAACCAATTTAAAATGGAAAATTTTAAAGAAAAAAAAAAATTTTTGAACCCCTTATGATTCATCACCACCAAACTCAATCTAAGCCTTCCCTTTATGGTATGGTACCTTGCAGTACAATTTCAGAGAGATCCATACACTTGAACACAAGTTATTGTCTGGAAACTTGAAAAATGCTTGTTTTTTTGCTCCTTTTTGGCCCCAAATTCCTAAACGTTTAGGGCAATTACCCCCAAACTCAAACCCAGCTTTCCCTTTGTGATATGGAACCTTGTAGTACAATTTCATAAAGATCCATACACTTAGACACAAGTTATTGTCCTGAAACTAGAAAAATGCTTGTTTTTTGCCCCTTTTTGGCCCCTAATTCCTAAAATTTTGAGGCAATTACCCCAAAAAACCAATCCCAGCCTTCCCTTTGTGGTATGATACCCTGTAGTACAATTTCAGAGAGATCCATACACTTAAACACAAGTTATTGTCATGAAACTAGAAAAATGCTTGTTTTTTGCCCCTTTTTTGGCCCCTAATTCCTAAAATTTTGAGGCAATTACCCCCAAAATCAATCCCAGCATTCCCTTTGTGATATGGAACCTTGTAGTACAATTTCATAAAGATCCATACACTTAAACACACGTTATTGTCTGGAAACTAGAAAAATGCTAATTTTTGGCCCCTAATTCCTTAACGTTTTGGGCAATTACCCCCAAACTCAATTCCAGCTTACTCTTTGTGATATGAAACCTTGTAGTACCATTTCATAAAGATCCATACACTTAAACACACGTTATTGTCTGGAAACTAGAAAAATGCTTATTTTTGGCCCCTTTTTCCTAAACTGTTGGTACCATAACCCCCAAAATCGATCCCAACCTTTCTTTTGTGGTATTGAACCTTATGGTAAAATTTCATAAAGACCCATTCACTTAAACTAAAGTTAGAGTGCGAAAACCAATGTGTCTTTGGACGACGACGATAAAACAACGACGACGACGCCAATGTCATACCAATATACGACCACAAAATTTTTTTGCGGTCGTATAAAAATTCAGCAATTTTTCTATTTGTAAACACGCATAACTCTAGAATGGTTGTGTTTACGTTTTACAACATTTGGTTGAGACAAACTAAATAAATTCAGCAATTTTTATGTTTATAAAGGAACATACATGTAACTCTAGAACAGTTAAAGTGTTGCCACCTAATTTTGTACTTAATCTGTATTATGTAGTAATAAGCATTGTGTATAAGTTTCATAACATTTGGTTGAGGCAAACTCAAGTTAGAGAATGGAAACAAAAAAATTGTACTTGAACTTTACTGAGTTTTGTGGTAATGAATATTGTGTATAGGTTTCATAATGTTTGACTGGGGAAAACTTCAGTTACAGAATGGAAACTAAAAATTTTGCAATCTTTCGATTTATAAAGGGGCATAACTCAATAATGGTTAAAGTGACACTACCCAAATTCAACTTGATCTGTGTTTTATCAGTGGAAGTCAAAATTAAACATTGCATTGTATAAAGCATTGATTGTAGTTGATTCAACTATAATCATGGTCAAAGGAAGATAACTCCAATTTTAAAAATATATTGTAAACTTGATATTTAGAAGAAAATAAAAATTTTGCAGTTTTTCCATTTATAAAGGAACATAACTCTAGAACAGTTAAAGTGATGCCACTTAAGTTAGAGAACGGAAACTAAAAATTTTGCAATTTTTCCTTTTATAAAGGGGCATAACTCTAGATCAGTTAAAGTGATGCCACCAAAATTCAAACTTGATCTGTGTTTTGTGGTAATAAGCATTGTGTATAAGTTTTATAACATTTGGTTGAGGAAAACTTAAGTTAGAGAACGAAAACTAAAATTTTGCAATATTTCCTTTTAAAAAGGCCCTTAACTCTAGATCAGATGAAGTGACGCCACCAAAATTCAAACTTGATCTGTGTTTTGTGGTAATAAGCATTTTGTATAAGTGTCATAACATTTGGTTGAGGCAAACTCAAGTTAGAGAACAGAAACCAATTTCGGGACGTACGGACGGACGTAAGTACGTACCTAGATGGACGTACGTACGTACCTAGATGGACAAGGGTAAAACTTAATGCCCCCTCCGCTACGGCTGGGGCATAAAAAAACAACAATGCTCTGTTTTCACATCATAACATTTGTCTAACTTTTTGAGTAAGCAACTTGTTAATCTTTGGTAGATATCCACTGCTTACTTTTTTAAATCATTTGTTATGTAGAGATTATGACAATGGTTTATATTTCATAGATGAAAATAATACTTTATATTTTGAGTACATGCATGTTTTTTATAAACTTTCTAAAAATTATAATGTATATGTTCAAAATAGCTTATTTCATAATATATGTTTTACTGGAGGTCTAACGAAGCAGGCTATCAATTCTGAAGAAAAACTTTTTGACAATACATTATTTCCATTATAACTTTTTAGTCAGATTAGCGGTTCTCATTAACAAAATTATTATAAATTTTTGCTACATGTATATACTCTATGTTTCAAATGAATATTGGTTCGATAATTCTACAGATCTTTCAAATTTCTTTTCTAATACAGTTGCTATGCTGGTTATCTACAAAAATGTATTTAAGTACATGTAATGTCAAAGTACTGACACATTTTCTCATTTAACAGGTCAACAAGTTGTGTTCTATTTGTTCCATCTAGCAATCATCATTGTTTGAAATAAGCTCTGAAGGAGAGAGGACCATTGAGGACTTGGAACACCAAATCTCCTACATAATTTTTTCTCCATCTTTTAACTTATCACCCTTCAAAAACAAACATCAAATGTATCTACCAAATTTGAATGTTGACTTTTGTATTGTGTGGTACATGTAGAGCTATCCCACTGAAGATAACCCAACTCATATGTCTTAATTCGTGTCTTGAATGAGATGTTGTGCAATGTATTCCCTCACCCTGATTATACATAAACAAAAAAAGTTCAGGCTCATAGGAGGAAATAATTAAAGTGATTGAAATCACTTAAGGCAAGATTGGACGAGTACATAGAGTCAACAGAACTTTACAATCTGACCATCTAAATTTTATAACAGAGAATTATATTAGAGAATCTGTAATGTATCATCTATAAACTTACAGTATTATTTATTTCTGTCCTAAATTAGTTTTATATTTTACCTGTTAACAAAGAATACAAATGTATATTTTACTTCCTTCTTCCATCAAGGAAGCAATAAAAGTGTATCAAATCAATTGACATGGAGTACAAATGAACTTCAGAATATTCCCTAGCTCAAATATAATATAAAACTGGTATCAGATATATAAATATCCAAAACATTTAAAAATAAATAATGTTTAAGTGACTGTACAGTGTAAATGATATACAATGTATGTAATTTAGTATTAAATCCCCTGTACAAATACAATACAATGTATATATATAATAATAACCTAGTAAGTGTTTGTACATTTATGCAATATAAACATAATTGGGCTAATCAACCATTTTCAAGGTAGAATATTAAATGTAAGTAAATAGTTGTCAACCTTAACTCAAATTTAATCCAAAATTAAAATAGAAGTAGCATGTAGAAGCAGACTTTAAACAAGAGAGCAAAAGCAGAATTGTCTTGCCTGCCTAATTGATTACATGTATGTTTCAATTTTGCGTTGAAAACCTTTATAAGATCAAGGTCTCATTCCATACACCTATACTGTAATAAAGATAACCTATTACTTTTAGTATAAATGTACATGTGCATTGCACATCAGAAACAGTCCAACTCACAAAAACTTAACATTGACCAATTTCAATGAACCATGAAAATGAGATCAAGGTCAGATGAACCCCATAAGATGGACATGTACACCTAACAATCATTCTATTGCTTTAAGCATCTGAGAAATGGATGAAATCACGAAAATTTAACATTGATCAGTATACCTTGGAATTAGATGAAGGTCAATTGAACCATATGTGTGACAGACATGTTTACATGTACCTCAAAATGCAGTTAGAAAGCAAATTTCAGAAATCTGCATTTTCACAGGAAATGAGACCAGGTGGAATACTGATGCATTAAGCTTTTTTTCAAGCATTTAACATTTGTCAACCTGTAACATTGTCATCACAGGCATTTAACATTTGTCAACCTGTAACATTGTCATCACAGATCAGTAAAAGATAAGCTCCTTTTTCTCATAGTAATTCGTGCAAATCTGTAAAAATCAGAATAACTGTAGTCAAAGAACTTAGAATTGGTTATATGATTTGAATTTATATTCAATTTTTTGCTTTTGAGCAATACACTATGCTGTTTCAAATTGCCCCCCCCCCTCCAAAAAAAATTTACCCCCCCTTTTTTTTGGCTTTTATGCAATACACTATGCTGTTGCGAATTGACCCCCCCCCCAAAAATTTTTTTTTTCACCCCCCTTATTTTTTGGCAAACAAATTTTTTTTCACAAAAAAAAAAAAAATATTTGAAGAAATTTTCTTTTTAATTTCTGAAATCTGTAATGAGAAAAAAAATTGTCCCCCCCCCCTCCCCACAATTTCTTTTTAACCCCACCCCGCCCCAATTTTTTTCACATCCCCCTCCCCTTTTTCCAAAAAAAAAATCTTTCCCTCAAGATAGGGTCTTTATCTCAATTCAAATTCCAATGGAGTTTGCAACCTTAATTACCCATTTAAATCCATCATAAAAGTCTTAAAATAGAAAATGACATACATAATCATGTCTAAAAATAATATATCTTTAATCAGCATTTTTATTAGTAACTTCTAAAAATTAATTGACAGCTAATCACTACAAGACAATACAAAATTTCTTTATACATAATTTTAAAGCAGTGTAAGGGAGGTAATCCAAATTTATAACATTGTACTTAAGAGTGATTGTCTATTAACAAGGAAACCCTTGTTTTTTCCCCTTTTTTGACCCTAATTCCTAAACAGTTTGAGCCATTACCCCCCAAAGCCAATTCTAACCATCCCTTTGTGGTATGGAAACTTGTTGTACAATTTCAGAGAGATCCATACACCGTTCCACAAGTTATTGTCTGAAAACTAGAAAAATGCTTATTTGGGCCCCAAATTCCTAAACTGTTAGGACCATAACCCCCAAAATCTAACCCAACCTTCCTTTTGTGGTTATAAACCTTGTATTTAAATTTCATAGATTTCTATTAACTAATACTAAAGTTATTGTCTGGAAACCAAGTGTCTTCGGACGACGACGACGTGATACCAATATACATGTACGACCACAAAATTTTTTTGCGATCATATAAAAATGGTACATGTATATTTAAAAAAGGCATTTAATCAAAAGTTAATAACATGGCTCTGTATAAAACATGCAAAGAGATATACATGTAGGTGTATATATATGATATACATGTAGCATCAAATATGACTGTTAAACAGTCCCATAGCTCTTGGACTACAAACCAGAAAGTTTTCAAAACAAAAGCTAACTAGAGCTAGTGCATGACATTAAAAAATGCCTTTTATTTGTTGAATGGTCAAAGTCCCATAACTTTGGAATGACAAATCAGGAAAATTTTAAATCGAACAGTATGTTTCAGGCGTCACCACACTTCGAATTTTAAGAAGTGACTTCTCCCTGGACGCCAAACAGGGAGAAGTGAAGACCCAACAGGAAGAATTGAAGGATTGCGTTAATGTTTATGAATTGAATTTCCCAGCATCTATACCTTTATCATTTTCTGAGCTTTTTTTGTGAAAACTGTTTAAGGTGTTATTTCCTTGCCTTGTGGTCTAAATGAATTGTTCCAAGGATTTGAAAATTATACATTGATCAAATTTTGCTGCATCACAAAGGTCTTCATAGAAAAGTCTGGTTTTGGTTTGCTTACAATTGTGCTTAACAACATTAAATAAAGCAAGAACTTATGACCCCCTTTCCAAAATTAAAAAAAAATATCCAATTGCTAAGTAAGTTTTATTACTTTGAATACAGTATCACTCTCTTTCATTTCCAAGACCATAATAAATAGATATACATTTTGTATTTTTTTCGTATTATCATTATACTAATTGGAATTCAGAAGTAAAACAAATTTTGTCACTTCATGTTGAAGAAGTACATTGTATAGTGAAACTCAGGTAATTTCAAAAAGTGTGCGATTCAATGTTTGTGGGATTTTCATGGAAAAACCTGCTTTCCATCATTGAGTAGAAGTTACGAGTCTTAAAACATGACAAAATCACAACAACAAAAAACAATTGGAAACGGTGTGCAAGTCAGAACCAGAAATAATGTTTGAAGGACTTTTAGCTAAAACAAAACACATGCAGCAGTATGAAACACCAAATCTGAACCAATAGCCTATTACATTTTGTAGTTTAAACATCGTTATGCTGGTTCCCGGCTGACAACTTCACTTTGTTCTAATGATAAATACAAGTGGATTCCTGTTTATGTTATACTTATCAGTTAATATTGATTTTGAATTAAAATTGCATATTAATATGGATTAGGTAAATTATAGGAGTTTTGAAAAGAAATAAAGGCGTCCTCTACAATTCCATTAACAAACATGACAGAACTTAAACAAACATGGCAAAATCGAGGTTTTCTCATATTTCTTGCTTATTGTACTCTACAATACAATACACCTTATCGCTATTTAGTCCAATCCGGAAAAAACAGTCATTTAGACAACTTCCTGTTTGGGTCAACAGGCCGCAAACAAAGGTCATCAGTAACGAGCTGAGGGAGGGAAAAATTTAGAAAGCGATCAATAGGAAACTTTGATAGATTATGATCCACTTTTTCCAAACTCAAATTAAAGTCAAAAAAATATTGTGTTTGAAGTATTTACGATGTTTAAACAGGTCTCATTAAAAAGTATCATGCATGGTGCATTGTTTAAACAGGGTCCCAGATAGCGTCAACTGGATGAAAAAGTTGTGTAATTTTAGAACTTATCCGGAATGGAATAAATAGCGATTAGGTGTATACTCACCCTACCTGGCTGTATTTATTTTGGTATAAAAATCCCACGACAATTCAAGGGGGGGGGGGGGGGGGGGTAACATTAAATATCAGAATCACATGAATCATGTGCATTTGGATCAAGAATTTTTTCAAAAATTATGAAGTGACATGTACATTCATTGGGTTTTTTCATAACTGAAAAATGAGGAGCAACATAAACTTCTCCTTGAAGCTTTTATAGAGCTAAGTCAGGAATCTTACTGTGATAACATTGCTCACTTCAACTAGCTTGGTGACCCCTGTAAAATGATGTAAGAGTATATATATATATATATATTACATATATTGTATGGCGTAGCATTCCTCTTTTTTCATTGGGTAGACTAGTACGATCACATGATTCAAAGAATATTCCATGTATCTGAAGCCTTGTTTATATTATTATATAAATTAAGAAGGACTTTCACTTAGTCAATACGTTATAATATATGGACCTATAACATAATATTGACACTTGGACTTCTTCCTCTGTCGATATTATCTAAAACAGGTCCATATATAACCTATTGACCTCCTCAAAAGTCCATAATTGATAAATATCTGCTAACAAGTTCCAATGAAAATTTGTCAATTCCTTTTGTCATATGATGAACCTCAACTCCGTCAGACAGGAAACTATACATTTGTTTAAAAGTTAGATCTGAATCAACTGTACGTTCCATAGCATAAGTATCCTGGTAACAGGTTACATATATGCGTCTTCAAAATAGAAAAGGAATATCAACAATAAAATCATTTTTTTACTGTACATTTTTGACAGGGCTGTGTCATTTTTCTGCACGCTTTTCATAAACAAACAATCAAAATTTTGTTCAGGTGTATGTTTTATTTCTCATATAACATCGCTACTGATTTACAGAACCTACTTGCATGCTGACTTTTTCTTATTTCTATATAAGATATTCTGTTTTCTATTTTCTGTTTTGGTCAATCAAAACCGGAAATGGGATCGAAGGCGCCACCCGTTGGAAAGAATTAAAATAGTATGCAATTTATAAGTCTCCTAATTCTTGGTGCACCGCCCTTCTTTCTTTCGTTCTTTTTTTTCTCTTGGAATTAAATTCCTCCACTTTCTGAATAACCACTGATACATGTATATATGTGTAGCAGTAAGCAACGGGATAAAATACAAATAATAGAACTTCTTTTGCAGGTGCGAGGAGCATTACCGTGAGACTCGATTATTGCATGACGTCCCAATGGTCTGAAATCAAGGCATCCGAGATATTAAATTCAATAAGTGGATATTCGTTTGAATAATAGTTTAATTTCATTGCGTTGCCAATTATGTATCCGGCAGTAAAATTGCAAACTAACAGCTTCCTCGAAAAAGCTTGTGCATGATTGAAAATATAATAGCTTTAGAGACGGCAAAATAGCCTCTTAGTTACTATTTTACCGTCTCCGGCAAAACAGCCTCCTTAGCGCTATTTTGCCGCCCCCTGCAAAATAGCGATTTATATAGAGTTTTGCTCAGCATTTTGCCGATCTTAATTTATATTTCTATTCAGATGATATGAAATAATCGTTTTATTGCGTAACCGATAGTCAAAGTAGTGAAAGTTGTGAAATCAAATCAGAGAGAGATGACAGTCAGCTCGAAAATTGTATTGAACTCTATATAATCGATCTCGATTATAATTTTATCACCTATACAAGTGAAAAATACGGGAGACCAAAGGGAACTACCCATGCAAAAAGCGGGTACGAAAGACAAAGAGCTGATTCCTTTTGATCAAAAAGCTTCTAAAGAGGCTGACATGATTTTTCGTAGATATAATTATGGTGGCCGGTTAAGGACATTTCGCGTTTTCGCCCTTCATATTTTATAGGGCGAAAACGCGAAATATTTTTTCTTTCCGATTTCGCGTTTTCGACTTTGCGTTTTCGCGTTTTCGACATCGCAATTTCGAGTTTTTGCGTTTTTGCCATATAGAATATGAAGGGCGAAAACGCGAAATGGCCTTAACAGGCCACCATATAGAATGGCCAAGTCAGTGGGAAAAGGATTGCAAAGTCAGCGCCGTTGATGACGAAACCCGCTCTGAAATCATTTCAAGTTCATGTCTAGACAAACTAGTGAATATAAAGTTGATAAAGATATAGTGTACAGACGATGCATGGCAATCTATTGACAGCATTTGTTCTATCAAAGTTGAATTTAATATATATATCTGCAATTTTGGCAAATAGAGTGATGCATACCGCATCAAGAAACAAGTGTTATGTGCAGTTCATGTCTGCAGTGGCAGCATCTTTTTTGTTGAAGGCTAAAAAATGTAAAAAATGTCAGGCA